AAAAATTCCTCACTTCTTGCATTGAAGTGACTTGAACGAACGCAAGCGTGCATGACTCAAAAAAGCCTTTATGTCGGGTATTGGTCAACTGTAAACACAAAAAGGCCTTTGAACCTGCATGCATGCACAAAATTTCCCCCATCGTTACTATATATAAGTTTGCAGTTTGCCAGCACGAAACGCAACATTCTGTTCGTGACTGGTGAATCGCTCGCTGTCTTGAAATCTAAAAATGACGAAAACTTTGTTCCTTTTGGTCTGTTTGGTGATTGTTTTGGCCCGTACAAGGTAAACTGGAGTGGCCTACTGGGCACAATTGATTAATTTGTTATATATTTCGAAATCTAAAGACATGCATGTGCTACATTTCATTGAAACTTCCAGAAATAAGTGGTGGTATTTACAGCCATTTTAATACCTGGACGATTCTTGGTGATTTTTGTGCCGTCATGTCCTTGCACGTAAATTAAAGTTCTCTCATAATTATACACTAAATTATATGCTTATATATTATTCTCGTTTGTTGATGTTCCAGGCAACAGGTTTATAATTAAGTTTGACCATCATTTTATTTAGACCGATTACTGAAGAAGATAGCAAAATTGCATAGCTCTGGGTGGTTGGGTGGGTGGGTGGGTGGGTGGGTGGGGGGAGGGGAAGAACTGAATTTTCTGTGTTTTATATCACTAATTATGTGTTTTAATATTTACTATATTTTTACATTTTAGTTATGCAGGCTTGCTAGAAAATGATTTTCGTCACAGTAATGATGAACGTGTAGATTGTCGACGGGGAAATGAGCGCGAGGACGATGGAGTAGGACCACCACAATGTAAGAAAAAATCGTTCTGCTATACTGCACCTAAACTTAGTTCAAACAATTTTTGAGCATTACGAGCGTCTAAAATTCTGAGTAGTTCAGCTGAGGGGTGTGTTTTGAGCTGGATAGCACTATATCCGCCGGATTATACTTTATAAATTAAACTTTCTTTTTATTAATTGTTGTTCATGTCCGTGGTTTTAAATAGCACAGCTATTCGACCATCCCAAACCAAGGCATTTTTTAATACCATAGACTGGTGGGGCATTTGCCCCACTGGGCCCCTTCCTCTGCCCCACCACTAAAGAAAAATAAAGGCCAATTGCCTCAAAGCCAGGGCCCTAGGACCTGTATTGAGTAAATGAGTTTGTAACATTGAACAGAAGTTTAAAAAACAAAATTTGTTGGTGAGCATACTTAAACCTATGTTGTACGTGTTTGAATGTTTACCATGCAATTTATACAAATTTCACCATTAAAAATTTTTTTGAGAAGCTGAGATTTTTTTAAAAATGTGTTCTCAGAATGCAGAAAATGCTATTTGAGAGACCTAAGATTTAAAATTTTCTGGGGAGGACATGCCCCCAGACCCCCTAGTTAACTGGTGTCTGCGGGACTCGGCTCACACCGTCGGCAATCACGTACTGTCGTGGGAGGAGGGCAAGGAAAATGGGCCCATTGGCAGTTTTGCCCCCACCACTGGAGAATCCTTAAAAAATGCACTGTGACTCAAAACTCTTTAATGATTCCTGAGTAAATCAGCCAACTATATTGCTTTATTTTGCTCACATGATTCAGCCCACTTTAAGTAGTGATTTATTCGTATGGATGACTTGAAACCTGGTCCAGTCCCCATAGTCGGATTTGAAATATTACTTCGTACAACCGAGTCCAATTCTTTATAAGAAGATAGACTTATTACATTCTTTTCATTTTAGTTTATTTATCATTAAATCCTGCTGGAGAACGTTTGGCCTATGGTCAGAACCCCGAGTATAAGTACAGGCGAGTGTCTTTTGAACCGAGGCACATGATCGGAAATACTCTTCTGCCATTCAATTTGCCTTTGTGCTCTGATAATTCGCTCGAACCTGTTGCAGTGAATAGGAAAGAGCAGCAATTATACGTGGATACACATTTGCAACTCTATATGGCAGATAGGGACGGGCAAAACAGTGAATACCAAGAAGTCCTTCTGCATTATAATTCAAACAACAAGAGAGTTTTCGTTACTATCTACAACAATTTTCCCATTCAGGCCTTGTGTCTGACGGAGGGTCAGAATGGAGCAGAGCTTTCAACGGATTGTAGCGATGAATACTCTTTGGAGAGAGTTGCAGAAGTGAATGCTTCCTTGTTCCAAATAACATTTTAGATATGATCTATATAGCTAGTTTAAACATGTAAAGTCCTGACTAATGTTATTCCATACTGGACACAGTAATGGCTAGGGCCTCTTTAAGAATTGGTCTGTGGGGAGGGGGTTGGCATCAAGAAAAATGGATCCAACTATGACGTGGTGAACTGGATGGGGGCCACCCTTAGAAAATTTTTGTATTTTTCAGCCTCTAAAGCTTGACTTTCGGAGAAGCCAGCCAACATTGAGCTTGGGGGGACTTGCTCTCTCCAGTCTTTTGGGTTAAAAGGGCCCTGGTAATGGCAATCCCATATTGATCCCATACAGGCCTAGAGTTTAATACATGAAGAAACAAGAAAGCCGTATTGGCCGAATTATCAAATACCTATGATATTGGTAAAATGAAGCTGGCTTCATTCTTTTCCGACATACATCCATGTAGGACCGAGGCAACTAATTTGTGATCATGCGCAGATCTGCTTAGTGCAGACATCAAACCCCAGTCTGAAAGGTAATATGTGCAATCAATAACTAAACAGTCTGTAATCTTACTTTTGCTCATGATCATCCTAGTGTTAATTTCATTGTATTTCTATTTACAACAGGTAAACTGAAGACTTTTAAAGTTCTCTGACTCGACTTTTCTTTAAGTAGTAAAAATTGTAGACTAGTACCAAATAACTGTTATCACCGATTAATTTGTTAGAATTCGATGTTAATGTAATAAAGTTACGAATAAATATTTTTGTTCTCGGTGCGTGTTAAAACGATTATTGTGTTTAACGGAAAGGGGGGGGGGGTAACATACATTGCTGCGGATTCGGGAAGACCGGTTTAATGCAAATAATTATCGGCTATCTTTAAAACCAGGAACGGGGAATCAAGGAACGGAATAGGAATGGAATAAGAAAAGCCGGAATCTTTAAAACCCGGAATCATCCTCGTTCCCAGGACCTCGCTGTCGCGCGCGACCTTCATATTTATTTTAATGAGGCGTGCACACTGCACAGACGACTAGACCTGGGATACACGGGACCGGAAAGTGCAGGAAAAGTTATAGAAGTTCCTAAAGAACATGCTCTTGAATTGGAACGCTTCAGCACCCGTAACAATTTTCACATACAAGTATTACGAAGAAACAAAATATTTCTGTTGGCATACTTTGATAGAAAAATTTTTCCGAAAATATAGAAAAACTTCTGCGAAATAGCAGTTCCCTCAGAAGCCAATCAGATCTCTCCCTTTTATTCGTCTTACCCAGAGCCTAATTTTCAACGAGTGACCGAGTGAAAATGGCTCTGGGGAAGAGAATGACCTGGAATGAGAAAAGCCGGAATCTTTAAAACCCGGAATGAGAAAAGCCGGAATCTTAAAAAGCCGGAATCTTAAAAATCCGGAATGAGAAAAGCCGGAATCTTAAAACCCAGAATGAGAAAAGCCGGAATCTTTAAAACCTGGAACGGCGGAAAAGCTGGAATTTTAGAACACGGAATTATTAATTTAATTATGCCAAGTTTTGGCGGAATTCTTGGTCTCCTTTGCACGTCGTCTCAGACTCTCAGAGCCTCGCACAAACAAGCAAAGCAGTAAACAACCTCAAGAAATTTTGTGCCAGGCTGATATTCTATTATTCTGGAGGAAACACAGTGAAGGTTAGTTTTTAAATCAAATACTATCTGGGGCGGTCTAGGATTTTTCGTACGTTAGTCAAAATTCTATGACGTCATTTGATGTCAGGATGATAGTCCGATTTTCGTGGGAGTATAGATGTTTTGTTTGATCAAACTACATGGCATACTTTTCACAATTGCCAATGTTCAGCATATGATAGACTCTTTTGTCCTATATCTGGGCTCGTCAGCATGCCTAGGAACATGCCATGGACAGCCCCTTAAAAAGGCTGAACACAAGCACAAGCAATCTGGTTTTAAGGTGCTAGAAACCCTCCTTTACACCTCTTGCAAGAACAAAAGGAGTTTGGTTAGAAATGGGTGAAAATATCAGACATTTCATGGATGTGACATTGCTCAGTTTTTCACAGCGTCCCAAGTCAATTCCAACCCTTTACCCCCATGTACCTAAAACTATGGCAAATAGCAAAATGTCCGCTTCGGAAAATTCGTGTCGAAGCAAGGACCACAGTAAACTCAATATTAATATATTTAATTACATGTCATTGAGTCTACTGATGGAGCTACTATAGACGTGAGCATCAATCGAGCACTCAACAGGTATAATATAAAGATCAGTGATTGATTTGTCTCTGTCGAAAACACTTTTAATTAAGTGTTTAACAGTTTAACATGCACTGCCAGTAAACTCTGTCCTGCTAATTACACGTACAGTAGAGTCATGCATGTGTTTCAAAAGTTTTCGTAACTACTGTATATTTTGTGCACTTAAAGGACATTGGAACTAAAAATTTGGTTTGTCTCATTTCGAAAGAACGTTTAAAATTATGAATTAAACTGTTGGAATATTTTAGTTCAAATTGTTGTGGAAAATTAACAACGAAACAAAGACCAATTTGTGTCTAATAAATTGAATTTATAATTTTTTCCTTATCTCCTAGCATAGCAATAAACATTGTAAACAAAGCACTTAGACTTAGTCTTATAGATATAGATAGATCTATCTTGCTACGCAGGCTTCACAATTTTAATTGTGAAGCCTGCATGCGTAACAACCGATAGATGTATTAGATCTTACATAGATATATATCTATAAGTGCTCTGTTTACAATATTTATTGCTGTACTAGGGATAAGAAAAATATAAATTCAATTGATTAGATACAAATTGATCTTTGTTTCGTTGTTAAGTATTCCACAACAATTTGTTTCAGTATCCAATGCACTGCCAGAAAACTCTGTCCAGTTGATCACACGTACAGTAGATTCCTGTATGTGTTTCAAAACTATATTTTGTGCACTTAAAGGACATTGGAATTAAAAATTTAGTTTGTCTTATTTCGAAAGAACGTTTAAAATTATGGATTAAATTAGTTGTTGGAATATTTTAGTTAACCGCAGAAAGCAATGAGCATGCAGTCCGCCATCTTGGATTAATTAATAACCTCATTACAGGTAACTATGATTTTGATGACGTCAAGAGTTGGGGTTAGCCTTATATAAAATTGCCTCTATATATCATATACTCGTATAATATAGTTCATTTTGTAATCACACGTTTGATGTTTGTCGGTTCCGAAATAGTACGTTATGAACGGATTTCAGGAAAAAACAGGATATACACTATTGCATCTCATTGACATTGAGTGCATGGACACAAATTGTTCTAAAACATTTCAAAGGCTAATTCAGAAACAAAGACATATTTGCAAACGTGAATTTATAATTTTTTCCATTTTTCCTCAAATAGAATGCAATAATCACATTATATATAGAGAACTTGACTAGACATATGACATAAGACGCTTAGTTGTCATAGGACTGAATCAAAAGGTTCGGAGTAACTCACTTTTCTGTCATATTGCATGCTTTTCGATGCAAGCGATGAAGGTCAATAGGGGTAACTTGCGGGGTTAATATTGTTTTCAATTGTGGACAAATGGGGGACGATGGCGGATTTTTGTTTCAAATTCTTTATGAAAAAAAAAAGAATTGTTGTCGAGAATGTTTGCCTCCAAAACAGTAGTCCTCGACAAATCACATTTATATATAAGTTTCAATAGCAAATATAAGAATACCAAAATCACATTGTATGCTCGTCGCAGCTGTCTCACATCCGTTCTCTTGCACTGTCACGATGACACTCACTAATACCTACTATGACTATATAATCTCCATAATTAACTATCCCTCCCTAAAGTGTTATACGATATATCTTATCTGTTTGGTCAGTTCCCAACATTGTTAAATCGAAAAAGACACGAAAAACAAAGTTTTCGGCAATTTGTTCAATGTTTTGATGACATTATCAAGCAACATTGAACTACTTTGCCTTTGCAGTTCTCATTCAGTCAAATTAAATATGGTGGATTTATAAGGGCAACACTTGAGAAAAAGTGGAGCGAGGCATGATTCATGATTAAGTACGCATTCTATATCTATTATTTATATGGTTGCAACTTGCAATGTGGCCATATTTCAGGGGGGGGGGCGAACATGTGGTTTGATGATAAAATTTACCCTCAGTTCTTGCATTGAAGTGACTTGAACGAACGCAAGAGTGTATGACTCAATTACTCAAAAAGCCTTTATGTCAAGTTTTGGTCAACTGTAAACACAAAAAGGCCTTTGAACATGCATGCATGCATGCACAAATCCTCCCCATCGTTACTATTATAATACATAAGTTTGAGTTTGCCAGCACGAAACACAACATTCTGTTCCTGACTGGTGAATCCCTCGTTGTCTTGAAGTCTAAAAATGGCAAAAACTTTGTTCCTCTTGGTTTGTTTGGTGATTGTTTTGGCCCGTACAAGGTAAACTGGGGATATAATTGATTAATTTGTTAAATATTTCGAAATCTAAAACGTTGCCTGTGCTACATTTCATTGAAACGTCCAGAAATAAGTGGTGGCATTTAAAGCAATTTTAATACCTGGACGATTCTTGTTGACTTTAGTGTAGTCATGTCCTTATACATAATTATACAGCTAATTCAATGAAGGTTGTCCTTCCAAAAACGTAAACCTTAAACTCTGAGCGCGCAAAGTATGCTGGGTTATTGCTTATTTAGACTCATAAACTCTGAAATTCGTTAAGGGCGAAATAGGTGAAAACCCATCATCCCTTGCGCGCTCAGAGTTTAAGGTTTAAGGTTTTGGAAGGACAACCTTAATTGAATCAGCTGTATACTAAAGTATATGCTCATATATTATTCTTATTTGTCGATGTTTCAGGCAGCAGGTTTAGAATTAAGTTTAACCATAGTTAATATAATTATATTAACTATGGTTTAACCACCACCATTGTATTTAAACCGATTGCTGAAGAAGATAGCAAAATTGCATAGCTTGGAAGGGTGGGGGAAAAACCGAATATTCAGTGTTTTATATCACTAATTGTGTATTTTAATATTTACTATAATTTTACATTTTAGTTACGCATGGCGCAGGCTTGCTAGAAAATTATTTTCGTCACAGTAAGGATGAACGTGTAGATTTTCAACGGGGAGATAAGCGCGAGGACGATGCAGTAGGACTACCAGAATGTAAGAAAAAATCGTTTTGCTATATTGCACTAACTTATAGTTCAAACAAGTCTTTGAGTACTACGAACGTCTAAAATTCTGAGTAGTTCAGCTGAGGGGTCAATTTTGAGGATTTTGAAACCTCCAGCAAAAATATCCGGGTATTTTGGGATCGGTTTCTTTGAGATCTTCAGCGGATTTTAAAGGATATTTTAGGCACGACTTTAAGGCCGCATTTACACTATGACGCTACGGCAAATTTACCGTAGCGTATAGTGATTTGCATGCGGAAAGCCAAGCGTAGTGGTCAGTTGTTAATACGCTACAGCAAACCACTCCGAGTATATTGTCAACACATTACTAGGAAGCGTAGATAGATAGATAGATAGATAGATAGATACTTTATTGCGTATGGTGAATTTTTAACGAAACTGATGTGTACTCAGAGTGGCAAATGTAGTGGTCCGTAGTTATTAATTACGGCAACTGAACCACTCCGTCATCTCCGTTATAGTGTAAACACAATATGTCTCAATACTACAGAAACGTAGTAAATTTTTAACGGAATGTTAGCCGTAGCGTTATAGTGTAACTGTGTAAACGCGGCCTAAGATTCTGAACGCAGTCTTTGCACATTTTTCATGAGATTGTGAGATTTTTAGCTATTTCATGTGTGGGATTTTTAGCGACGGTTCGCGTGATTTCAAGATTTTTCGCCGAACGATTTTTGGGGAGTGTACCCGAGGATTTTGGAGTGATTCACATTCGAGTCTCATTTAAAACAGTAATTACATGCATCACCCTGGGGGCTGTTGTAGGAAAGCTGGATAGCTCCATATTCGCCTGATTATACTTTATAAATTAAACTTTCTTTTTATTATAATTGTCTTGTCCATATATATCCGTATAGTTTTAAGCATAGCACTATTCGACCATCTCAAACTCGTTAATAATTCTGATGAGTAAATCAGTCAACCATATTGCTTTACTTTGCTCATATTATTATCATTCACCCCACTTTAAGTAGTGATTTATTCGTATGGATGTCATTTCAAACCCTCCAATTCGGACTGGACTAGATTTCAATTCAAGTCCTGGCATTTTGATCCAGCTAGTACTCGGCTTTGCCTCGGACTTGATCAAATCGCGCGGACTTGAAATCTAGTCCAGTCCTCGTAGTCGCGGATTTGAAATATTACTTCGTACAACCAAGCCCAGCTCTTTATATTTTTGTAAGAAGATACGTCTCATTAGATTTTTTCATTTCAGTTTATTTGTCATTACTGCCTGATGGAGAACGTTTGGCCTATGGTAATAACCCCGATTATCAATACAGGCGAATGTCTTTTGAACCGAGGTACTATATCGGAAAAAATCTTCTGCGATTCCATTTGTCTTACACTTCTGCCGACTTTTTGCTCGAACTGGCTGTTACAGTTGATGGGAAAAAGCAGCAATTATACGTTGATACAGATTTGCATCTCCGCGTGGCAGATAAGGACGGGAAAAACAGTGAATACGAAGAAGTCGCTCTGCATTATAATCCAAATAAAAGGAGCGTTTTCGTTACTATCTGCAACCCTGATTTCCCATTCGAGCCTTGTGTCTGGCGAAGGATGTGGCGAGGGGACGGAACGGAGCTGCAAAGCTTTCAACGGATTGTAGCAATAATTACTCTGTGGAGAGAGTTGCATGAGTGAGTGCTTTCTCGTTCTAACATTTTAGATATGATCTATAGCTAGTTTATACATGTAAAATCTTAGTTAATGTTATTCCATACTGGACAACTGCATGAAATGAATGGCTAGGGAGGGGCTAACGTTGGGATATAGACCCACCTTGAAGTTGGTGAACTGGAAAAACGGTACTTTTGGGGGTCTGGGGTGGGGCCTTGACTTTCGGAGAGTGCAGCCAACATGGAGCTGGGGGGACTTGCCCTCTCCAGTCTTTTAATTTAAAAGGGGCCCTTGCAATGGTATAGGTCCACACAGGCTTAGCGTTTAATACATGAAGAAACAAGAAAGCCGTATTGGCTGAACAAATACCTATGATGTTGGTAAAATGAAGCTGGCTTCATTATTTTCCGACGTATATGCATGTAGGCAACCTCGTACTCAGGCTCTTTCCACTACGCTGTAGTGGAAAGTGTCTGGCTACGAGGTTGGTATGTAGGACTGACCGAGGCAACTGATTTGTGAGCACATATATGCTTAGTGCTGGAATCAAACCCCAGTCTGAGAAGTAATATGTGCAATCAACCACTATATTGCCGGTAATCTTACCTTATTTGCTCACGATCATCCTAATGTGTACATTTTTGTTTTATTTGATAACTCTTTCATTGTATTTCTATTTTGTTATTTACAGCCGGTGAATTGAAGACTTTAAAGTTCTCTGACTCGGACTTTTCTTTAAGTAGTAAAAACTATAGACTAGTACTAGTAACAAACAGCTGTTATCGAATTCGATGTTAATGTAATGGAGTTACGAATAAATATTTTTGTTCTTGGCGCGTGTTAATACGATTATTATGTCTACCGGAGGGAGGTGTACACATTTTGTTGTGCAGCTTAAAAATCCAGGCGGTGCTTAGTACGAAATCAGGTTCCAAAATTGACTATATAGTGCTCAACGAGTATATATTTCATGAAACTCAAAGGCTAGCAAATTCCCTTCAGCCTGCTCCCTTGGGCCTGCACGCGGGCTAGTACTTGTATAGAATGTATTAAAAATACAAGGTAAAACCAATTACAACTATATTTATGTTCGCAGTAAAAATTTGAACCAGCTAGTGATAATCATGATTATTATTAGATAACATTGATATCGAAGGAACTAGATTCTGTTCCGAAATATCTCATACTCGAACCGACCAGACCGCGTAGCTCAGTTGGTAGAGCATTGGGCTAGTATTCCAAAGGTCGTAGGTTCGATTCCCACCGTGCCCAGGCATATTTTTCCGGCTTGCCCGGTGTGGATATACACTCAGAGTAACATCACAAGCATCACCATTTGTATTGTATCATATTGAGTGTTTTATACCTTGTTAATAGACCTTATGTCTAATGACGTCACAAGGTTTAATGCCCGCGAGGAATGTTGGTCTTAATAGTCATCGCCCCAATCTCGTACTCAGAGTAATGCCTGTGCGCGGGCTAGGAAGGCACAACCTCGTACGAAAGCCGTGGGAACGAGGTTGAGGAAGGCATTGGCTCTGGGGAAAGAGAATTTTTCCTGTGCTGTGATTGGTTTAACGTTTATCAATTGTGCATGCCGACAAACAACCGGGATCCCTGAATTTAGGGGTTCCGGACTTCGGGTTGTCTATTTCCCCAGAGCATTCCTAGCCCACGCACAGGCATTTACGAGATTGTCATCGCCCAGGAAAATAATTAAACAATTCAAAATGGCCTTGTTACGTCGTTGTGCATAAGGTCAATTCAGGTAAATATTTGGTTTATATTTGCCCACCCTAGGCTGAAAAAGTAGGTCTGTTTTCAGGCTATACCCAATCTTGCTCCCGTTAGAAAAGAGCAGAACGTCCCCCCCCCAGACCCCCACTGCGCGAAAGTCAGATGATTAGATAATAATTTGATTATGACTGACATGAAGTATTGGGCGTCCAATAACAATCAGCGGTATGACAGCAGGCTCAAATCGGTGTTCTTTTCTCTTTGAAAGACGACTTGTGTGAATTGTAGACGTAGTACATCGACAAAAACACTCTAAAATCGTTCGACCCGCTTGTATTAGAAACATGACAAAGGCTGCAAGGATTGCGCTTTGCCTTTTGATATGCGTGTTTGGTTTTGCTTGGGTTTTAGTCGACTGTGATCAAGGACATGGCCATGGACATGGAGGCCATGGACACAGCCATGGTCACGGGCATCTTCATCCCGAAGATTATGAACATGAAGACCACAGGCATTTGTACTACAGACCACAAGAGGACCACGATCATGAACACGAAGGAGATGACCCTAGCCACGAGGAGCATGACCATATTCATGAAGGACACGGACATAGTCATGGAGGACACGGCCATAGCCACGATGGACATGAACATTTGGACCCTGAGGAAGACCACGAACAGCCCACAGAAGCCAAGAAAGAACACGTACATCATGCCCACAGTCATCACGAAGGACACACAGACGATGATCACGACCACGGAAAGAAAGCCGAGAGCTCAAAACCTATCAAAGACCGATTTGCCTTGTCCACGTGGATTAATGCTCTCGGAGCGACATTTTTGATCAGCGCTGCGCCTTATTTGTTGCTCTTTTTTATCCCACTGGACAAGAACACAGACGAACAGAAACCGTTTCTAAAAATTTTGTTAGCTTTTGCTTCTGGGGGACTGTTGGGGGACGCGTTTTTGCATTTAATTCCCCACGCTGTATCGCCACATTCACACGGCGAAGATGGTGGTCATTCTCATCATGATCACTCGCATTCGCACGGCGGCGAAGCCCATGGACATGATCACGACAGAAATATGATCGTAGGCCTTTGGGTTTTGGCTGGAATTGTAGCTTTTCTCATGGTTGAAAAGTTCGTACGATATGTGAAAGGTGGACACTCTCATAGTCACAGCCATGTTGTGCCTGTAGACGCCAAGTCGAAATCGAAGGACGAAACCGACAAAACTGAGCAAGAAAATACATCGGAAACTAAAGGTATGTTTTATAATAAGAGCATATTCATTTGCATTTTATTTGTGTCAATGTTTAAAGAGTATCGTATTTAATATCTGGTTCAACAAATTCAAAATATAAACCGTGTTTGAATTACCGAACTTCTCTAGATATATGAACAAATTGATATATTTATAATTCACTTATATTCTGTTTATATTCTGAATAAAAGGTTATATTTGTAGGGTTTTGTTTTCAGCATGGCCCCAAAATAAAACAAAGTGTTCTTATTAGTATTTGCATAGATATGTACGTGTCATATTGCGGTGTTGTTTCAGACTTTACACGTGTAACTAAGATTTTGTACACATGGCATATTAGTATATTTAAATAGCATTCTATTGTGACGTGTATATTATGACCTGTTAACAAGGATAAGGATTGTGATAAATACCGGTAATTGTATGGCATTGGATATTTTAATCATTTATGGTTTCTAAAGTAGAAATACAAGGCTTTTCATAAATGACACAATTACAAGATTAATTAGAATAGTATAACAAGAATTAGAATAGCAAGTTAACCGTTATGCACTTGTCAATGCACAGGCGGCCCAATCTCAGAATGAATGATCAGGTGTTGCGGGTTTTTAACGGTTTTTATAAACAAATTTATAGTCAACCAAAACTATTTTAAAAACATTCTTAAATTAGTCAAATAAATACATTTTAACAATAAAATAT